CACACACACACACACACACACACACACACACATACACATGCAAACACACACATACACACACTACTGCTGCTGTTGTTGTTGTTATTGTTGTTGTTGTTGTTGTTGCTGCTGTTGTGGTGGCTGTTGCTGCTATTGTTGTTGCTGTTATTGTTTTTGTTGTTTCGTTATTTTCTTCACTCATCTAATTAAAAACTCACAAGCTTTCTTGGCCTAGTTATGGCCCTGACTTTGACGACTTCCTTTTTGCTAACTTCTCCCAAAGCGGTTTACACTTTTCGCTACCCCAGAATTACAAAGTTCTATCAACTCTGTACTTACTTTTGAGAAATTTGATGTTACAAAATTTTGAGTTTGACAACATGTCAAGTTTTTTTTAACGCAACTCTTTGAATATCTTTATAACGACTCCGAATAATCTTACGATTCTGATAGACCAGACAGAACATTTTGTTTCTGACCTCATGGTCTTAATCTTAATAACTCAAAACGACAAAAACAAATCATGTCAGATAGAACTTTGTATTCTAAGGTAGGGATTTGTAGAATGACGCTTGCAATTATTCAGTGAGGAGTGAGGAGTTCTTAAAATAAACCTTCTGTAGAACCGTGCCAAGTGGATATGCCTCTTGAGATCTGAACCAGGGTCGCCAGCATCTCACGTTCCAGGAAAATACTGTCTGAGTCAACTGCAGAATCACATCAAATTCTGTATACGGTGAAGGTTAACACATTACTACGGGACATAGGGCGTGGACTATACAGATACCTTGTTAATTTTTCTGAATGATTTTGAGGTGTACCATCTGTATACATCGGTTGCCAACTCGTTTGCAGAGAAACAGAAGTTGTAAACATGCAGTTTTACTCCCATCCACCCGTTATAAAAAGAACATAGTGTGGTATCCAGGTTGGGTGTTATGAGGGAGTGGGTAGTTTGGTGGGACTTCTTCGATCTTTATTTTCCTTTGGCTGTCTCTGTCTCTCTGTCACTCTCGCTCCCAGCAAAAAATGACCCCAATCGTTACCGCACTCAAATCAAAACTAAAATCTTATTAGAGACATATTTAGAAACTATTCAAAAACCACGAAATCCGAAAGTACATTTGTACTACCAAACGTGTAACTCTTTCGTAGATATTGACCTTATGACCTCTCATTTGTCCGCCCGGACGGGCAACCAGACGGACAACCGAAGCACTACATCATGCGGAGTACCGGCACTGGTCATGTTAACTCTTCCGGTGTCATGCACAGGTACTCCAACACTTCATTTTACGTCTTTTGACCAAGCCTTGGTGATTCGTGGAGCAAAAAGAGTTAATGAGAGTCAAAACACGCGCCCTAATAATAACGACCTGATTGGGCTCGCCGTTCAGACACCACCAGTGCGACTGCCCTGAACACTACCTATCGGAACCGGGCGTTGTTTCGACAGAGGTTATGAACTTGATATACCGCGCGGAAGTTTTGGGTTCTGGTTCGTGTAAGGTCCAAACTACATGTATTTATCTTTGCGTTCCTGGAATTTTATCGGTTAGCCGAGTGTCGACATGATGTTGAACAACTGATCCGTTATACGCACACTCATATACTCAGAGCTGGTTGTAACGGAGTACAAGCTACGTTACAATTTTCGGTACTTTTACTGTACTCCGGTACATTTTGAGAATCAGTACTTTCACTGTACTCCGATACTTTTATAAAAGTACTTTTGAGTACTTTTCAAGTACATTTTGAGTACTTTTGAAGCTTAATGAAAGAATAAGTGCCGACATTTTCCGATCATAATTTACGGAACAAACACCCGGGCGGGCACAGCCGATCAACCAAGAGTTAGAAGTTGAGATTAAAGAACTGCCCGTCGCGTCAAAGATCAGCCACTCTTGTGAAAGTGGTCACATGCGCTGTAAAACTCCATGAAACGGTACAATGATCCCCAGACGGGATCACACCGAGGTGTGAACTGACCGATGGGCGTTTCTTTTCCCCAAAC